GGGGCACCCCTGTCCTGTTCCTGGTCGTGGAGGAAAAGCTTTGGACTTTTCACCCCTGAGTGTGATGCTAGCTGTGGATTTGTCATATATGGGCTTTATTTTCTCTGTACCCACTTTGTTGAGATTTTTATCATAAATGTTGAATTTTGTCAAATGCAAAAGCATCTGTGGAAGTAGTTATATGTGATTTTTACCCTTCATTTTATGAATGTGGGTTAGCACATTGTGGATTTGCATCCCTGGGATAAATCCCACTTGACCTGGGTTTATAATCCTTATAATTTGTTGGGTTTTTAAAATTAATTTGTTACTGAAGTATAATTGACATACAGCATTATAGTTCAGGTGCACAACATAATGATTCAGTATTTCTGTACATTGCGAAATGATCACAATAAATCTAGTTAACATTGGTCACATACGTAGTTACAGAATTATTTTCTTATGATGAGAATTTTTAAGATTTATTCTTTTAGCAACATTGAAATATTCAATACAATGTTATTAGCTGTAGTCCCCATGCTGAACGTTACATCCCCCAGACTTGTCTGTCACTTGTAACTGGAAGCTTGTACCTTTTGAGCCCGTCACCCATTGTGCCCATCCCGACCCCCTGCCTCTGGCACCACCAGTCTGTTCTCTGTGTCTGTGAGCTTGTTTTTGTTGTTTTTAGGTTCCACGTATAAGTGAAATCACAGGTATTTGTCTTTCTATGTCTAAATTATTTCACTTAGCATAATGCCCTCAGGTTTCATCCACATGGTCCCAAATTCTTTTTTTTAATGGATGAATAGTATTCCACTGTATATGTGTATACACACACACATATGCACACACCACATCTTCTTTACTTAGTGTATGGTTGAATGTGGTTTGCTAGTGCTTTGTTCGGGACTTTTGCGTCTGTGCTCGTCAGGGATATTGGCCTGTGATTCTCTTTCCGTGTGCTGCCCTTGTCTGGCTTTGACAGCGGGCTAATATAAGATTAGTTTGGAAGTGTTCCCTTTTTTCTATTTTTTGGGAAGAGTTTTTAGAAAGATTGGTGTTAATTCTTCTTTAAATGTCTGGCAGAATTTATCAGTGAAGCCGTCTAGTCCTGGACTTTTGTTTGTTGGGAGGTTTTCGACGACCGGTCCAGTCTCCTCACTAGTGCTTGGTGTGTTCAGATTTTCTGTTTCTTCACGACTGTTTTGGTCGTCAGCCTGCGTCTTGGAACGTGTCCATTTTTTCTGGGTTATCCAGTTGGAGGCCACTATTTCACAGCAGTCTCTTGCGGCCCTTTGTATTCCCGTGGCATCGTTTATAACAGCTCTTCTTTTATTCCTGATTTTGTTTATCTGAACCCTCTTTTTTCTTGGTGAGTCTACCTAAAGGCTTGTCAATTTTGTGTACCTTTTCAAAAACCAATTACTAGTTTCATTGATCTTTTCTATTGTCTTTTTAGTCTCTGTTTCATTTATTTTTGTTCTGACCTTGTTAATTCCTTCCTTCTACTAACTTTGGACTTTATTTGCTCTTCTTTTTCTAGTTCCTTGAGGTGAAAAGTTAGGTTGTTTATTTGAGGTTTTTCTTGTTTCTCGAGGTGGCCTATACCGCTGTGGGCTTCTCTCTACTTCTTCGGTAATCCACACCTGAGGTGTTTTTTCCATTGATTTTTAGAGAGAGGGAGGCAGGGAGGGAAGGAAACCTCGCTGTGAGAGACACATCAATTGGTTCCCTCCCACACACGCCCCGACCAGGCCTGGGAAGGAACCTGTAACCCACGTATGTGCCCTTGACCGGGAAGAACCCTCGACCCTTACAGGCGCAGGGGGCCCGACGCTCTAACCACTGAGCAACACCGGCCAGGGCTGCACTTCACTCTTCTAACTGCTTTTGCTGCATCCCATGAATTTTGGTGTGTTGTATTTCCATTTTCCTTTGTCTCAAGGTATTTTTTTATTTCTTCTTGGACTCACTGGTGGTTGTACTTGCCTCTTTTCTAATGGGCAGTCGCTCTGAAAGGACCTCTGTTTACTCTGTGGTCCAGCTGCTACAGAGGGAGGCTGTGTCTTCCAGAGACCTTCGGAAGGAACCCTGCCGGCCCACACAACCTGCCCTGCTGTTTGACCCTCCCAGGTGCCCTCTTGATTTAATGCAAATCTGCTTGGCCAGTTCGTGTGGCATAGGGACAGGCACACAGAAAACCCAGCTCCATGTATTATCCTGGTAGACTCTGAGCTCCCTGAAGGTAGACCTGGCTGTTTATTAATTTTTGGAGCCTTAGCCATAGTGCCAAGCACACTCCAGTAGGCCCTGGAGGAAGACTGGCTGAGTTGGGTTGAAACAAAGTGGCCCATCAAAATAAAAAACTTTTGTTCATCAAAGAACAACATAAAGAAAAGGCAAAGACCACCCACAGAATGGGAGAAAATATTTATAAATCCTATGCCTGGTAAAGACCCACAATCTGTATAGATAACTTGTACAGCTCAAGAACAAAAAGACAGTCAGCCTTGGCTGCGCGGCCCAGCGGTCAGAGCACCAGCCCCGTCAGAGGGTCTGGGCCTCAGTTCCGTCACGGGGCGCCTGCTTGCAGGTCTGCACGCCCCCCCGGGTGGGGCACGTGCAGGAGGCAACCAGTTGGTTCTCTCTTCTTCTCTCTTTCCTTCCTCTCCCTCCCTCCCTTTCACTCTCTCTAATAAAATCAATGGAAAACATATCCTCACTCCTTGGGAGAGGATTAGAAAAAAAGAGAATCAACCCAATTTAAAAAATGGGCAACAGACTGGAAGAGACTTTTCTTCAGAGATGTACAGATGGCTAGTGGTGCATGGAAAGGTGCTCAGCGGCCTCGAGTCAGTGGGGAAATGCAAAGCAAGGCACAATGACCTGCCTTTTGCACCCACCAGAAAGGCTACAATTTTAAAAAATGGAAATAGCAAATGTTGGCAAGGACATGGAGAAATTGGAAGGCGTACACACTGCTGCCGGGATGGGAAATGGTGCAGCGGCGATAAATAGCAGTTTGGCAGTTCCACTCCTAAGGATACACCCAAGAGGAAGGAAAACACATCCACACAAAACGTGTGCACGGGCCCTGCCAGTGTGGGCAGTGGATAGAGCGTCAGCCCGCGGGCTGAGGGTCCCGGGCTCAGTTCCGGTCAAGGGCATGTACCTGGGTTGCAGGCTCCATCCCCCGTCCCAGTGGGGGTGCGTGTGGGAGGCAACCAGTTGATCTCCACCCCCTTCCCTCTCTTTGAAAAGCAATGGAAAAAATATCCTCAGGTAAGGACTGAAAAAACAAAACTTGTACGTGGATGCTAGTAGCAGCACTATTTGTATCAGCAAAATGGTGGAAACAATCCAGATGTCATGCCGAATGGATAAAATGTAGTATTTTAATACAATAGAATATTATTCAGTCATAAAAAAGAATGAAGTACTGATACTTGCTACAACGTGGACGAACCTCAAAAAAAATTATGTTAAGTAAAAGAAACCAGAGTCAAAGTTCCATGTGTGATTCTGTTTATATGAAACTTCCAGGATGGGCGGGAAGTAGATTAGAGGCTGGGGAGCGGGATGGAGAGGGAGCTAATGGGCATGGGGCTTCCATGTGGGTGATGGAAGTGTTCTGGAATTAAACCATGGTGATGGTTGCACAACTAAACACCACTTTGAAATTTTATTTCAAAATTTTTAAAAAAGCCAGAGTATGAACTCTGTGACCCTTGGCCCCATCATGACACGTGTAGGCCACCAGGCCTTGAGCCCTTGCCCCTTCCTCTCTGAGTACTGGAGCTACGCCTGGGGTCAGCAGAGGCCACCTGCCTGGAGCTGAGCAAAGGCTCGTTCACCTTTGGGGGAATTGGGCAGCATGCCAACAGCAGAGCTGTGACTGGGGGAGGCCCAGGAGCCACCTCACTCACTGCTCCTTCCTGTAAACTTCAGCCTGGAAACACCCCCTTCCTCCGCCCACGGGTTACTTCTCAGGAAATCTGAGGACAGGCGTGGAAGCCTCTGGGGCCAAATCATTGGTGAGCGTGGAGCTGCCAATCACTCTCCCCACTGATTAGTGCCCCCCACCCCCAAAGGTAGGTCCATTTGGGAAGCCGAGCAGGGCAACAGGCAGAATCGCTGCAGAGGCCACAGTGGAGAGAGATAGCCCCAGGACCCAGTCCTGCAGCGCCCCAGAAACAAAGAGCACTGGCCGGCCCTTGAGATTCTCCCTGCCTGTGAATATACTCACATCAGGGCCCCGGGCAGCGACTTGCTCACTTAATCAGAGGGCAGCTACCTGGTCTCCTGCCCAGCTCTCCCTGTTCTTTGCCAGTGTGCCTGGTGCAGTGGCTGGGACCTGGGTGCAGGGCAGCTGGGGCCTGAGAGACAGCAGAGACAGGAGGGCAGTCTTTAGAGCTGTCTGTTCACTTTGCTTCCCTGCTGGCTGTTGAAGGTTGACTGTGGCTGTAATTGGTTTGAAAAATAAAATAAGAATTGGAAGCTTGAAGGCCTGTGCCTCGGAGGTGCTGGGGAAGCAGGGGTGGGGCTGTGGGTCACCCCTTCTCGGCCTTGCCCAGTGGGGGACACTGCAAGAGCACCACTCAGGCTGGGTTGGGGGTGCTGGGCCTGTGCTCCCTGCCGGTCGTCCTTTGGCAGAGCCTCCGTCCATTTTAGCAGCTCCTCCCTGTCTTCTGCGTTGGCCTGGGCATCTGTAGTCTGCCTGGGTGTCTGGAGCTGTGTGTGACGGGCTGAGGCCTGGAGGATGCTGCTCAGGGCTGCCAGCTCTCTTCTGTTTCTGGAGGTGTTTGAGTGTGTTTGGTGGCAGAGGTTGCTTCCTGTAAGACTGTGTCACCCAGATGGGACTAAAGACCTTGGACATCCCTGGGAGCTGCTCCCATGTCCTCCCTCCTCAGAATCGGAGCCTCAGGGCCGTGGAGCACAGAGGTCTGCTCTCATCTCCCCCAGTTGGGCTCCTCCCAACACACATCTCACATGCTTTCTTCTCTTTCCCCACTCAGGTTGCAAGATGGGAACAGAAAACCCGAAAGCTGAGCAGAGCCTTAGGCTCCCCCTACCTGGCCTGCTACATGCTGGGCGGGGCCATCCTATTGCTGAACGCCCTGCGCTCACACTGGTAAGCCCACCCTGCCCACTGTGAGCACCCAGGACACCTGAGTGCGGGTGGCCACTGCTGGGGGTGTTGGGGTCCATCAGGACGTAGGAGTATTGTGTCTGAATTCACAGGGGACTTGGCTCTCTGAGGCCTTAGGCCCCAGCAAGCCGCCCCTTCCCTTCCTGGGCTGTTAGACCCTTATCAGCAGAGGAGTCCTTGTGACCTTGGGAAGGGATGGTGCCACCTGCCTGGGACTCAGGCACAGAGGACAGGCCTGAGAGGCCCCAGGCTTGCATATCCCTGGCCTCCAGCGTGTAGACAGAGCCGCTATAGGAATCCCCTCCGGGAAGTTCAGGCAGGAGGCAGGTGCCCCTTGGGGAGCAGGGCCTCACCCAGACCTGGGCTAGGGTCAGCCAGCTGGTGTCACTGAGCCCCTCAGCACGTGGGATGTGCTACCTTCCTGCCATCGGAGAAGAGCCAGGGTGGTGAGCTTGTTCTGCACGATGAGGCACCACCCTTGGGACACTGGAGCAGACACTGCTGCCCGGATGCAAGGCAGGGAGCCCTGGGGTGGACGAGGCTGTGGAGAGAAGGAGCTGGAGCCAGTGGTCAGATGTGGCCTCGTCCAGCACTGCCCTTCCCTGAGCCTGGTTCTCACCTCCTGGGGTTCCATGAGTGGAGTGAACATAGCCCATGTGGTGCTTTAAAAAAAACAGAACTGGCACACGAGAGTCCCAGCCCCCCACATGGGAGCCGTCGCAGGGCTGAGTCTCAGGGGTCGTTGCCCTGGCCCTGCCCCTGCCCCTGCCCCTGCCCCTTCCCTGCAGGCACGGAGGGGAGGTAAGGCAGCTTGCACATGGGAAGCGGGCTTCTGTAGGTACCACAGGTAGGTCATAGGTGCTGGCTGGGCCCCTCACACACACCTAGAGACACGTGTCCAGGCCACCTGTAGGGACACGCTTGTGCCTCCCCACTGTCGGGGAGCATGGTCAGGAGGCCCTGCTAAGGCCAGCCTTCCCCTCCGGACCTTGACTCCAGGCTGTGCTGCTCAGCCTTTCAGGCTGCCTCTTATCCCTTTACTCCTTTGCTCCAGGCAGAATGGCTATCTCAAGGGGTCCTGGCGGGGCCCATGGCATCTGCTCTGGGTTGAATGACATGAAGATATCCTCCAGAGAGGGGTATTCACTGCACAGAGCGGCAGGGGCTCAGCTCTCATGCCCCAGGGAGCATTTCCACATTTGCAGTCTCAGGCAGAGAAGGGTCCCATTGTACAGATGGAAAAGCTGAGGCTGGGCAAGAAGCAGCAATGTGTTCAAGGTTTTACAGCTCGGGGCAGGAAGTCTAGAGGGAGAGGGAATGGTCTTCTTTGCCCGCTCTGCCACATGGAGTGGCCCCCTTGCAATGGCAGGGTCCCCATGACTGGGAGCCGAGGCCCCTCTAGTAGGATGGCGGGGAGCCTGCTTCTTGGTGAGGCCAGCCTCAGGGCCACCTTCTGAGCCCCTGGCACCGCTTCCAGGGCTGGTAGAGAGGAGCGGTCCCCACAGGAGTGATGAGGCTAAGGAAGGGCAGAGAGCTGGAGAGAGCCTCTCTGAGGGTGTGTTGGGACTGCTAGCAGGGCCTGTGCACAGCCAGCAAAGGGCTCGCACCCCACAGCTCTCAGCCCAGAGTCTGGGCAAGGTGACTGTCCAGAGGTGCCTGTCTGAGCCCGGAGTCACTGACATCACGTAGCACCCCATAGTCACCACAGCTGGTCAGGGTGGGTATTTGCGCCCATGCATCATATGGGGGCAGAGAGCAGGGGAGGACAGTCAGACTGTGCAGTGAGCATGACCGGAGAATGGGATGTGGGAGGACCAGTCCTTGTGTCTACAGCACTGAGGCCCTCTGCTCCCAGAGCCTGCCTGCTGCTCCTTGACACCCACAGAGGCCCTCGGCTTCTTCCAGGTCAGCAGGTTGGGTCAGCTGACTGGAGACCTTAACTGCATCTCTGAAATGCCCTGACTCGGGGTGGGGGTGGGGGGTATTGCACAGGGCGTGGGCTCTGGGCTCACCCAGGGAGCTTAGCAGGCCTGCTGGCCCTACAGTGGAAGGGAGTTCTGGGCCGACGNGGTAAGGCAGCTTGCACATGGGAAGCGGGCTTCTGTAGGTACCACAGGTAGGTCATAGGTGCTGGCTGGGCCCCTCACACACACCTAGAGACACGTGTCCAGGCCACCTGTAGGGACACGCTTGTGCCTCCCCACTGTCGGGGAGCATGGTCAGGAGGCCCTGCTAAGGCCAGCCTTCCCCTCCGGACCTTGACTCCAGGCTGTGCTGCTCAGCCTTTCAGGCTGCCTCTTATCCCTTTACTCCTTTGCTCCAGGCAGAATGGCTATCTCAAGGGGTCCTGGCGGGGCCCATGGCATCTGCTCTGGGTTGAATGACATGAAGACATCCTCCAGAGAGGGGTATTCACTGCACAGAGCGGCAGGGGCTCAGCTCTCATGCCCCAGGGAGCATTTCCACATTTGCAGTCTCAGGCAGAGAAGGGTCCCATTGTACAGATGGAAAAGCTGAGGCTGGGCAAGAAGCAGCAATGTGTTCAAGGTTTTACAGCTCGGGGCAGGAAGTCTAGAGGGAGAGGGAATGGTCTTCTTTGCCCGCTCTGCCACATGGAGTGGCCCCCTTGCAATGGCAGGGTCCCCATGACTGGGAGCCGAGGCCCCTCTAGTAGGATGGCGGGGAGCCTGCTTCTTGGTGAGGCCAGCCTCAGGGCCACCTTCTGAGCCCCTGGCACCGCTTCCAGGGCTGGTAGAGAGGAGCGGTCCCCACAGGAGTGATGAGGCTAAGGAAGGGCAGAGAGCTGGAGAGAGCCTCTCTGAGGGTGTGTTGGGACTGCTAGCAGGGCCTGTGCACAGCCAGCAAAGGGCTCGCACCCCACAGCTCTCAGCCCAGAGTCTGGGCAAGGTGACTGTCCAGAGGTGCCTGTCTGAGCCCGGAGTCACTGACATCACGTAGCACCCCATAGTCACCACAGCTGGTCAGGGTGGGTATTTGCGCCCATGCATCATATGGGGGCAGAGAGCAGGGGAGGACAGTCAGACTGTGCAGTGAGCATGACCGGAGAATGGGATGTGGGAGGACCAGTCCTTGTGTCTACAGCACTGAGGCCCTCTGCTCCCAGAGCCTGCCTGCTGCTCCTTGACACCCACAGAGGCCCTCGGCTTCTTCCAGGTCAGCAGGTTGGGTCAGCTGACTGGAGACCTTAACTGCATCTCTGAAATGCCCTGACTCGGGGTGGGGGTGGGGGGTATTGCACAGGGCGTGGGCTCTGGGCTCACCCAGGGAGCTTAGCAGGCCTGCTGGCCCTACAGTGGAAGGGAGTTCTGGGCCGACGGAGAAGGAGGCATGGGTGGGCTCAGTCTTAACTCTGCAGGCTGTGGGGGCACTTGAGAGTTTGCCTTGTAGGAAGGGCCTTAAGTTAGTGTGGAATCTGGAAGGGTCATTGGCAGCTGGAGTGGAGCTGCTATAGGAGGCTAGAGCCAGAGGCCAAGCTCGGTGCCTGGTGTGTGGCCAGCACACAATGGCAGTGACCCCTCTCCCTGCCTCCACCCTGGTTCCAGGATTTCTGGGGAGCAGAGTGCTGAAGTCATATTCCTAACCAAAAGCTCAATTTAACTTTTAAAAATAGAACTGGAGACAAATGAATGTTTCCACTCCCACCCTCAGTGTAGAATGTTTCTAAATGAAATTATCTCCTGTTCATTACTTCAGCCTGTTACCGTGGCCTCAGAGCCTTCATTAATGTTCCTTCATTAATTTTCCATGTGGAATGGACTGTGCTTTCCTGACTTCATGGAGGAAGGAACTGGAACATCACAGGTCACCTGACTAGGGCCAGCCACACATCCCTACCTGCCGTGGCCCGCGTGTGCAGAGGGTGTGGCCCGTGTGTACAAAGGGCACCCGCACAGAACTTGGGAGGAGCCTGGCCCAGCTTCTCTGCTGAGAAACCCAGTGAGCACCAGGAGCGCTTTGTGGGGAGAGCTGGAGAGGTGCTCCCTGGGGACGCCCTTGGTAGAGGAGCTGGAGCTGGCCCAGCAAGAGCAGGAAACTGGGCTCCCCCTCTGTTCCTCTGCCCACGCAGGAGGCTCTCCTGGCTCTTCATGGCAGACCTGGAGGCCTGTTGCAGGCTTCCCCACCAGCCCAGCTATTTTTTTCTGGAATGCTCTCCCTGCGCCGCCCCCCCCCCACCCCGGGTGAATTTCTTCCATCACACACATCTCAGTCGAGCCTCACTGGCCTCTGGACCCTGTGCTACGTGCCCGACGCTTCATCAGTCCCAGTGTCACATGGGCTCACTCCTCCTTCCCACTGTCTACAGCCCCGAGGCTGAGCCTGGCATTTCCGGTGCTCACCAGCGTGTGCACAGCTGTCTGGCAGCAGCTTTGCATGGGGACATGGGAGGGGTCACTGTCACCGTCATACAGAGGCAAATACTGAGGCCCAGGGTGCCCAATCCTGCTGTCTGCCAGGAGCCCTTGGCCCTTTTATCAGGTGGCTGTGGGCGCCCCAGAGAACTCTAGGCAGATGGCTGTGATGGGGCCTCACTGCCCTAGGTTTGGGGGCTGGTGTCAGCCGGGCAGGGATGAGTAAGTAGGTGCCAGTGGGGGCTGGACAGTGGGGTCACCCCAGCCCTCAAGAGCATGGGGATGAGTGTTTTCTCTCTCTGTCTCTCTGTCTGTTCTCTCTTTCTATGGTCCTTCGTGCAGGGGTAGCCAAGGATCCCGGGGCCCGTGGGTGAGCTAGCCTTTAGTAGTCAGTCAGCCTTGCAGGGCCCACACCCTCTCCGTGCCCGCATTCCACCATGTGCAGACAGGAGAGGCGGGAGGTTGCTGAGGCCGGGTGCCAAGACTGCCAGCTCCATGGCCTCAGCTGCTGGGTCTGCAGGGTAGAAGGTGTGCTTGGCTGCAGGGTTACCAGAAAGTCAGGTGAGGGCCTGGAGGGGTGTCGCATGGCATGCTGACCTGGTACAACACTGGGTGTGTGTGATCCTGAGCCAGTCCGAGTCTCAACCTGTAGCCGGGCAGGTGACCCTGAGCCCTGGCAGCCGGAGGGTTGAGGGAGGGCAGTGGTGGGTGGAAAGCTAGGGCTATGGGCAGCGTGACCAGTGACCAGGTGTGCCCTGACACCTGTGCCTGTTTGACAGGTCATCCTGAAGGCTTCTGCGCACGGTGTCCTGTTTGCTGTTTGCGCACAGACCTTTCTCTGCTCTGGGGGGCGTGGGAGGAGAAGGGCAAGGCTGCTGCTTGTCCTCCTGCCGATGAATGTGCTGCTGTAACCCCTCTGCCTGGGGTGCACCGGGCACCAGGAAGATGTCGGGAGGGAGAAGCCACCTCTGTTCTCTAAGCCAAGGGTAGTTGGCGGAGAGTTCCCAGAAGGCATTTTTTAGCTGAGCATAAGGATAGTTTTATGACAGTGTGAACTTACAAATGTAATGAATGAAGATGGTGAGTTTGTTCTGCTTACAAGAGTCTGGCAAACATTATGGTGATGCATGGATGGGTGGAAGATGGGTGGGTGGAAGATGGGTGGTTGGACAGAGGATAGACTAATGGGTGGTGATAGAGAATACTCAGATGAATGGGTGGGTGGGTAGTGAGCTCCCCGGTTAGGAGTACATAGTACAAAGTGAGTGCGAGTAGTTGTCACTGGTGAGGCAGGAGATCTTGTTTCCTATGATCATGGGGAATGGGAAGTGTATGTTCGTGGTACATGCATCTCTTGCTCCCACACATATCCTTACTTTGGAGAGTGCCCCTCTCCCCAGTGCCTGCCTACCAAGGAGGTAGACCCTGAGCCTTGCTCCTGTGCATTACCATGAGCCCAGGCCCTTGACCCTCGCTGCACGCAGCCTTCCAGTCTTTTTTTTTTTTTTAAACATATCTTTATTCATTTCAGAGAGAGGAAAGGAGGGGGAGAGAGAGAGATAGAAACATCAATGATGAGAGAGTCATTGATCGGCTGCCTAGCCTGCAAACTGGGCATGTGCCTCGACCGGGAATCGAACCCCAATCTCCTGGATTCTAGGTCAATGCTCAACCACTGAGCCACGCCCGGCTGGGCGCCTTCCAGTCTTCAGGAGCCAATTGGAGAACCTGAATCTCAAAACCCACTAGCACAGTCACCCCTGTTTGGTCAACCCACTTACCTTGACCAAGGCCTTCCATGCCTTGGCCCCAAAGGGAAATTTCTGGGGGCATTTCAGGTGTGGAAGGAAGATGCGCAGGATCTCTGAGGTGCTGCCTGGGATGGGGCCAGTCCTCTGCAGGGGCCAAGGAGGCTGGAGAGGGCAGAGCTCGCCTGAGGCCTCATGGCACTGAGTCCAGGTCAGGGGCACGTGGGCACCAGCGCCTGCATGCAGCCTGGGGCAGAATCTTTAATTTCCTGAAGTTCACTTTTTTCCACCGTACCAGTTGCTGGCTGGACAGGATCAGAGTTTGCAAACTGCTGGTCTTTGGGCTGAATCTGGCCTGCTGACGTGAACAGAATCCAAAATAGTTTTCATTAATTGCCTATTTTTAATTTTTTTTTAAAATTAGGCTACTTCATATACAAGTCAGAATTTCTGACTTCTCGTGAAAAACCAAAAATTCTGGCAGGCCTGGGCCCCATTTGTGCCACTGCTCTCATGGTGCTTCAGGGCGGCCCCCCCTTGGGCAGGACAGTGCTCTCCTTGTGCCCTGCACCCCACCTGCAGCCTCTTCATCTGCCTGGCCCTAATAGGCACCAAGTTGAGATACTTGGACTGGCCACTCTGGGGGCCACTTGGGGGATGGGGTGGGAAGGGGTGGCAGCCTTGTCTTCACCACAGTGACCCCTTACCCCCCTGCCCCCACCTGCAGGTTCACACAGGCCATGCAGAGCCAGCCCAGGATGGACAGCCTGGATAACCCCACCGCCTATGGGGCTGGCCTCGTGCTCCTGGGCGTCGGCAGCGTGTTGGTGCTCTCCAGCTTCTCTGCTCTGGGCTTCACTGGGACCTTCCTAGGTGAGACCCCAAGAGCTGACCCATTCAGGGTCCAGGGAAGGAGGAGGGGTGGCTGACTGCCTGCCACCTGTGACGTCTACGTGGGGCTCGGGGCACCTCCCTCCTCTAGGCCTCGGCTTGTCCACGATTAGCTCAGGAAGGTAGCCTCTCCTATCTTGTCCAGCTGCTTGGCTGCCAGGCCAGGCGGGCTGTTAGTCTGCTCTGTTTGGACCATAAGCCAGGATCGAGTGAGTGAGGGGCCAGGGACACTCTTCCTTCTCTGATTCTGGGTGGGAGCTCAGTGCTGGCCTGGCCAGACATCCTCAGGAAGGAAAAAGCCACAGAAGATGGCTGCAAGGGCAAGGGTGACCTTGGGAACAGGGAAAGAAAGGGGGAGGCAGCTGCTGCCCTCAGAGGGAGCCCCTCCCAGCAAGCAGGTGGCACATAGAGGTGCCTGGCTCTCAGCTGGGCTAGGTCAGGTGTTCTTGGGTCATCCTCTCCTCTCAGGCCCCTGCCAGCTGTGGGGACTTGGCCTGTTTCGTCCAGGGCCTGGGTGGCGTCGGGTGCCCCAGCCTGTCTGGGCATCTCTGTTCAGTTGCTGTCTCGGTGCTTCGGGCCTGGGCACTGTGGCCGCAGCAGGGGCCACACAGCTCTCAGGGCTGTGTTCATGAGCAGCTGCGGAGTAGCACCCTCTCTGCCCCCTAGCAAGGCCTGGGCTGGAGAGGAGTGCTCAGCAAGGAATCTGGGGAGAAAGGCAGTCAGGAGTGGGCTGGTGGGGGGTGGGGGGGGACGGACAGGCCTGAGAGCAAACAGCGAACTCAAGGGAAGTGGTGGACAGCATGCTGGGGAGGCAGGCAAGGGTCCCCAAAGGCCATGCAGGGGACTGAGCTGCACTCCCAGGGAGGAAAGGTGCTCTCTCAGCAATGAGAAGGTTGGACTGGTGGGGCCAAGACCCCGGGGACCAGGAGGAGGCAATCACGGTGGGGCCCAGGGCGAGGGCCACAGGAGGGAGGAGGGCACTGTGCTGGCCAGTTCAGTCCTCTCTGGGTGTGAATAGCTTTCCATGGGTGCTGTGGCAGAGTGGGCGCAGAGCCAGGAAGCAGCTAGTGGAGCCCCCCGCCCCCAGGGCAGTGTGGGGCAGTGCATGGTCAGGACCACTCGGTGAGACTCGCCTGAAGAGAGAATCAGGGTGGGAGGGGAGTGGGGAAGAGCCTGAGCATGCCAGTTCTGCAGCAGCCTCCAGAAGAAATGGCCTGGAATTGCTGAGGATGTAGGTCAGGCAGTCGCCTCCCTGCTGTGCATCAGCCCCAAGCTGGGCTCCTTCCCTGCCGCCGCCTCAGGCCCACCGTCCCACTTCCTGCCTCCTGGAAAGAAAGCCTCCCACAGCCTTCCTGGCCCACACCCTCTGTCCCAGCACCCCCCCATCTGCACCCTTTGTCCCCAGCCCTCCCTGGCCCACACCCTTTGTTTCCAGACAAGGGGTGACGCAGCTTCTGCCGCTCCTCCCGCCTTGGCTGTCCTACTTCTGCCTTGGATGAAGGTCCAAGGGATTTCCGTGCAGAGGAGGCCCACACTCCGGAGCAGTGCCCGTGCCCTCTGAGGCATCTGCGTGACTGCCCTGAGCAGCCTGCCGGGCCTCTGGCTTGGCGTGCTATCAGGCCTGCTCCCCCGCTAGCCTGGGGCCTCCTGGAGGGCAGCCCCGCAGCGCAGCCCCTCTCAGCAATGGCGTGGCCAGACGTGACCCTTTAATCCTGCCTCACCTTGTCCACAGGTGATTACTTCGGGATCCTCAAGGAGGCAAGAGTGACCACCTTCCCGTTTAACATCCTGGACAACCCCATGTACTGGGGCAGCACAGCCAACTACCTGGGCTGGGCCATCCTGTGAGTAGTGAGCCTGCCTCCCCGTGCCTCCTGCTGGCTGCCCCCCCCGGGGGATGTCAGCCTGCGCGCCTCGTGGAGCCCAGGGCATCAGGCCCATTCTTGCCCCTTGGGGTTACTTATCTATGGACACAAACAACATCTAGAACAGAGGTTGGCAACCTTTTCTTTATAGGGTCAGAGAGTGAGGCCTGACCCCAAGCGGGAAAGAGGGCTCTGCCCCATAGTGAGAAAGCAGCCCTGAGACAGGTGTGGCTGGGTGTCATTATAGATGCTGAAATTTAAATTTCATACAGTTTTCAGGTGTCTCAAAATACTATTCTTCCGATTCTTCTTCTAACCACTTAAAGATGTACAGACCAGTCTTGCCTGTGGACCATGGACTGCAGGCCCCTGTGGAGAGCACTAGGGCTGGGGGGCCCAAGCGAGGCACCCCACACAGGAGGGCGGAGCTGCCCAGGGCCTGGATCAGACCCCTGGTGGCCTCCGGCACTGTCAGGGGAGCTGGTCTGAGCACCTGCCCAGCTTGCAGAACGCTTGGCCCCACAGGAGGGAGTCCTGGTGCCCATGGGAGGGAGTGGGCAGCTGCGGCCAAGGAAGCCAGTGCAGGGACTGCGGCCAGCTCGGGCTTCAGACCACATGCCCCTCCAGGGCAGCTCGCTTGTCCATTGTCTGTATTAGCTCCTCTTCCATAGAAAGTTTTTGTGGAAAGTTTTTGCTTTTATTCAACACTCAAAGACCACTTACTTAGACTGTTACAGGCATTAGGACACAAAGGAATGAATCTCAAATGGTAGAACGTCAGGACTGCAATCTTCCTTCCTGCGCCCCAACCTCCCGGGAGCCGAGAGCACTGGGCTTTGAGTGATGAGCTACAGGGGGGCTTCTGGGTCTGGCTGAGACCCCCCCTACACACTGCAGCTCTATTCTAGACCAGACAGCTTCTGTCCTCTCTTGCCCAGACTTGGGCAGTGGGCTTCCAGGGGCAGGCTCTGCACCCAGACTCACTCCACCAGGCATCTCCCACCAGGCACTGACAGCTGAGCCCCTTCCCGCCTCCCTCTCAGCACAGGCTGTTCCTTCCCACTTCTATCCGGAGTCTGTCCTTCCAAACCCAATTTGAGGTGTCCTCTCCTCCAGAAAGCCCACCCTGTCTGCTTCCTATGGGGTGTCTCATCAGTGCTCAGATGGGGCCCTCCAAGGACAGAGCCCACACATGGGTCACCTCTGTGCTTCAACCAGTGCCTGGTGCCCTGGAGTGAGGTCATTAGCACCCCTCCCACCCCCCACCCCCAGCCAGTGCTGTCGGGAACATATGAGGGGCCGTAGGGGGCGTGGTTACCTGTAGGCCTCCTCATGAGGCCTCCTCATGGTCATGTGGAGAGGCCTCAGCTGTGCTGGGGGATGGAGCCCTCTGTCCATCTTCCATCTGAGAGCTCATTAGAGATAAATCATTAGAGGGCTTCAAGATGCTGACTTAGCAGGGCCACCCCCAGGTCATGTGTCACCCCCCCCCCCCCC